GGGGGGGCGTGAGTGTGACTCACGGGTACGCCTCCCAAGAAAAGAGATGCCAATTGAGCCGTTTTCTGTCAGTGGTCCGTCATCGATTTCGTGATCCGTATTGTGTATGCCCGTGTGTGTGCGTGTGTGCGTGGATATGAATGGCCCACACAAAGACCACGCATTCCGCTCGCATATCTGCATGTTGTCTGCCGTTGTGACAGACGGAGAATAACCTCCCCGTACCTTCTTCGCACGTAGTGCTCCCGCGGATTTCCTTTCGTCCTAATCCACTGCTGCCGCTGTCGGCATCTCTCTGTGCAAAAATGAAATAAAATGGTTCGCATGGGAATATTTCATGGGTGATAATTGAGTTTTCTTTTCTTTTTTTCCCCCAGGTAAGTGGCCGAAACGAGGAGACGAGTGATGGAGAGAGAGGGAGAGGTGCGCTGAGAGGCGGCGGGCGCGTGTGAGTAGCATGTACTTGCATTCTGCAGGGGGGCCGGGACTCGAAGGGAACATCATTTCAGAATCCGAAGCTTGCAAGAAATGTCGCACTTTCTTCTGTGCCGCGCTGCATTCCTCCCACCACGGCGCCGCGCCTGTACTGCGCTGGGTGGGCTTTTATTACGTCTTTTTCCTCATACGGCCCCCCATTGTCACCCCTCCCCAACCCCCTACGGGAGCCCTCGCCGAGCCCCCGCAGGGCGACAGTCCAGCTCCTTGTCACGTTCAAGTAAAAGTTATAACATCGCCGTTCTTCGAATGCACCAAGATTTTTGTTGTTATAGAGCGGTGGCAGAGGCGGTGAGCTCCCCCCGCCCCCCTCCCCACCCGATCCGAAATATATCCTCCCAAATAAACACGTCCATGAATTGAATGGATTTGTCATCTGTGCGGCGGCCCGAGGCCCACAAAGTCCTGACGCGGCCACCTGCAGCTGGGCTGCGGGCAGCGCGTCGAGGGAAAGGGGACATTCCGTTTATACACCTTCCTGCCTGCCGGTGCCGCCCCCACCTGCGCGTATATGTAAACGACACGAGCATCCGAAGCCCGTCAAGGCCCCTATGCCGGCCCTCTACGCGCGGATTGCCTGTGTGCCGCTCGGGGGGCTCTGGAGGGCTTACTTCGCTCGAGAGCGGGGCACTTTACACGTTCCACTAATTGAGTATAGATCTCGGTGGCTATAATGATGGAAAGCTTCTTAGTTGCTATATGGAAAGGGTTTCCCAACCCGGAAAACAACATGTATGTGTGGTATCCCCCGATATTGTTGTTTTATTTTGACTAAAATAACGCTCGAGTCATAATAAGTTCCGTGCGCCCCAATTAATATATTCTTGATATTAGTGCATTTCACTGCTGAAAAGTGAAAAGGGCGTAAGTCCTCGGGGACTTACTATTGGACTTACGCCCTTTCCACGTTTTACCACTGATTTTTCGTTTTAGCTTACTAGAAGCCGCGCTCTATTCCTAGACGTGACGTGACCCTTGAGAGGTATATGCAAATGAGGCACGCGCTCGCCACGTGGCACGCGGGGGCACGGCACGACCGCTTTCCGCGAAGCAGAGGAAGGTGTTCGGTCGGGGCGGACGCGAGGAAGTGCTCCCAGATCTCCTATCTCCGCGTGTCACCGCCGGGCGGGCGGCGCGCGCACGGGGACCATATCGGTGTTCATGTCGGGGCCAGGAGACCGCGCGGCAGGTACGGATGACACCTGTGCCGTTTTTATTTACGAAACTGCCTGCGCGTTGCGGTGGAGGCCCCCCGGGAACAAAAAGCCCCCGCCCAGCTGACACTCTTCAGGGTATATCGAGGAGGGTTGACGGCGGGGTAAGTTGGGGGCCCTACCCTTTTTCTGTGACTTGTGTGACAGTGAAACAAACAGCCGTTTTGGTGGATCCAACGTTGATAGCAGCAGCTCGAGCCCCGCCTCCGTATGCCGTCGAGGGTAAAAAAAAACCGGCAACAGCAGAAAACAACACAAAACGGCACATTTTTGCGTGCGGCTAAAGGAGAAGGCGTATCTCTGGCCACCGATAAAACTGTGTGTGTTTATCTGAGGTTGGTAATGGCCCGCTGCTGTATCAGGCCTGCCAACCGGCCGAGGGGCTCATGCGGAGAGAATCGAGAGGTAATTTCACTTTGCCGTGGAATGTGGAACTGGGGCCCCGCCTGGTTGGGTTGGGGGGGGGGGGGGGGCTCTCCCCGTGATAAACTCCTCCGTGTGGACAAGGCTTCTCTCTTGCGAAAACGCCAACTTATTGTGGCTGATAATGATGAGCTGAGCTTTGCGCGCGCTCGCATGTAGTAATTCTTTTCGCGTGTTTTGTTTCAAGTTCATTACCATCGAGTCGTGCGGGGTGAATTTTGGCAGACGGACGGCGGCGGATACATTTTCGCCGCTCGGCTGCTGCAGCAGCAGAGAGGGGTAGGCGCGCGGGGGCGGAGCGCGCCGCCGGTGCGTCTTAATGAACGTGGTTTATAATCATAATGAGCTGTAAAATTAGCACGGCCCTTCTTCAATCCGGCCGGGCCGGCTGCGTGTTTGTTTCGGATAACGCCCCGCGTTTCATACATATTGTCTAATTGACGTTATAGAGCGGCACGCGGCGCGCGGTAATGTCTAATTTATGAAAGCTCCTCGACCTGTGTGGTCGCCGCTGCCCGCCGCTGGCCGCCGCCGCCCGAGGCCTGTGGTGGTCCCCGAGGAGGAGCAGGGAGCTCGCGGGAGCCGCATAATGAAGCTAAATACTTGAACAGGCTGGCCCAAAGCGGTCAGCCCCGCGCACGGTCGGTCAGCCCCCTGTAGCTCCCGCTGCGCTCCAGGGGGCGCTTCAAGCGCGCTCACTAATCGATCTCTTTGGCTCGCGCGCCTCTGGACCGGACCGGCCATTTGAATAAGCAGCAGAGGGGGGTTTGGTTTACTTTTCAGTTCACTATATGGCTTTTTACTTTTTATCAATCTGTTGCTGCTCGCAGGACTCTGAACAAGAGACTTAAATTAACCTCCATAAATAAGGGTTATGGTCTGGAACAATCCGGCTGCAACATTTCACCTCCCACATGGACGTAGTTTGTGCGCGGCCCCCAATCGATCCCTGCGCCGCCGGCTGGACCGCATGCCACGACCATTTGAATAAGTAAGCAGCCCGCTTGTCCGTTGCGTTTCCTTTTCTCCCTTTTCCTGCTTTCCTCCAGTTTTCGGTTAGGCGGGCGCGCGCGCTGTAACGTTACGCGGGCGCGCTGACCGTGACGGCGGCGAGGAGGTGGCGGTGCGGCGGTGTGGCCTGCTGCGCCTTACTGGCTGGCACGCGCGCTGAGGTCACGGAGAGCAAGGGGAGCAGTGTTTGTGTGTGTGTGTGTGTGTGTGTGTGTGTGTGTGTCTGCTGCAGAGGGGAGGGAGGGTCGCCATTCAAAAACGACCGACCGGAAGTCGCGGAAACGAGAAGGAGCGGCCGGCAGACGGAGCTTCCGAGTCACTCGGGCTGCGGCATCGCGTCTCGCATTTACCATATGGACGCGCGCTCCCGTTCTAATCTTTGACGCGCGTGGTAAAGGGAAAAGGGGGGGGGGGCGGGGGGGTCCGTTTCTTTTCATTCTTTCTTTTCCGAGTGCATAGGGCCAGGAGGAGGTGGGGCGGGGCGGCCAGAGCGGTTGCCTAAACGGTCCATTGTCTTACAGTCGAACTAGTCTAACCTCTGAGCGCGCGCGCACGCACGTTGCGTTCCCACGGCGCGCGATGACACCCACGCGCTCGCGCACACACGCTCCCCCCGCCCCCCCCCCCCTTCACACACACACACACACACACGTGACCCTGCTTGGCCGCCAATAACTGTCAGGCAGGACGTATGACCGCGCCGTACGGATGTAATATTGAGGGTGAGCCCGCCGGCGGCGCCGGCATTCAACGCAACTGCGTTTTCTTTTAAGAAAATCCTCTCTAAGTTTTGTCGATCCCATTCACAACGATGTCTACTTTAGTCCGTTAATTTTTTGAATTTATTCCTCCCATTTATGGCAATGCCAAGTTTTTGCTTTTAGAAAGGAGTTAAGCAGTTAGGTGAAATAAACTAAAGTGGTTTCGTAGAAAATGAAAATAAAATCGGGGTTGCCTGCATGTAAATATAAATTTAAAGAAAGTCGAAGAGGAGGAGGAAGTGTAGGAGAGTGGAGTTCGGTGAAGTTGACGCTGAATGGACCGGACGTTGTTTTGTCGTTGGCCCTCCGCATTTATTTGTTCGGCTAATTTTTCCGGCTCGGCGACGTGACAGCCATCAGATTGGGGCGCACACACAGTCGCACAAGGTTTCTCTCTCTTTCCTTCTCTCTCTCTCTCTCTCTCTCTCTCTCTCTCTCTCTCTCTCACTCACACACACACGACACGACCTTATTAGCCCACCATGTATTTTCCCTTTGCGCCACATCAGCAACCGCACCGCACGACGAAAATATCGGAAAATCTGAAACAAGATGTTCTATGGGTCCCCTCTCTTCTCTGCACCCAGAAAAACGAAAAGTTGTCACAACCATACGATAGTCATCATTACCTAGTTTTAGAGGCGAGCAGGGACAACCATAAAATATAGCTGATTCAACCATGCCCACATTGTTAAACTTTTATAGTTGCACAGACAAGGATTGAGACAGGATGACCATCTACCTCTTGTCTCAACCATACATTCAGCGAAGTTTCCTGCTACATTCGAGCACCTACACAACCTTTGTTTCCCAGAAATCAGAATTAACCAGAAATTATTGTTGATGTCTGACCCTCACAAGAAAATAGTTGAATTAATCATGAGATTTTTACCAAATCCCTAACAATTTGTCAGGGTTGAGAATGCCATATATGGTATTCCCTGGCCTTTACTGAGTGTAATATAGTTGTTTGGTAAATGTCTTGGCAGGTTGATCCACTAAACGATCCTTTACAGTCTTCAGTTGAGGTAAATTTGTGGTTGTCCATTCATTTTTCTGGCTTAGATTAATATAGTCAGTGAAAAGTGCCATGTTTAGTTAAATTTATGTTTGCTTGTTTGAGCTGTCAATACACTTGCAAGATATTTTTGAAAAGTTGTTTCTAAATTAATTTTGCTGTTGTGGAACAACTATGTTTTCTTGTGGAGTGTTGCCTAAAAAGTCTGATTTGGTACTGCAATAATGCAGGTATTCTATAACACAACAGTAATTTTCTGTTTATTTTCCACAGTATTTTTAAAGGTGAATTAGAAATAAAGTAAAAAAAAATATTAGCTTGTATGTCTGACAGATTTTATTTCATAATCTTGTAGTTATTTTATTTCACAAGTTGAAGTTATAAATGACGGAGTGAGATCAAAGTTAGACCATCAACAGTGAGCCTAGAGTAGAGAGGGAAGTCTGACGCTAGCTGCTGCAAATTACAGAACTCCCACCTGTCTGTACTCTCTACAATATAGGCATGAAGGTGAAAATTAAAATGAATAGGTTGCAGCACATTAATGATAAAAGAAACTCTGAAGGGGTCTGACAACAAAACTGAAGAGATCCTCCCAAAAACAGGTACATTGTCTTCTATTCTTAAAAGTACACACAATCCTTTCTGGAACGGAGAGTTGAAGACCTTTACCCAAGAAGCTACTCTACAGTGGTCATTTTCTTCAGGTACACCCGGGCCATTACAATCAAAATAGTGCTCAACATTAGCAAAAACATATTGATGAGAAGGACCTGCTATGACTTCAGGTGCAAGGCCCCTTTTACTGATAAGCCTATGGCAAAATCTGAGCTGGTTTTTAATGAACACTGTAAGTGGTAAATCTATTCTACTATTTGTTGAAATAACATAGTCTTTAAGTTCTCTGTGCTTTGATTCGAACCTCATACTCCACAGATGAACGAGAGGCCCAACTCTTAACATAATTGATTTATAATGGAGCATTAAATGTTGTTTTGGCTTCAATGGTTCATTGAACAACCTTAAAAATGTTGCATGGTGCTCTTGAATAATTGCTTCCACATAATTCTCGGCACCTCGAATAAATGAGGGGGCAAACAAAACGTCAAGAAGAGTTCTGTGACAGACATAAAACTGCCAGTAAACATCATCTTCTGGTACTAAGTGACCTACAAATTCACCTAGGTATCTTGCAAAACATAACATTTCTGCAGCTGAGAAAGGGCACTGTTCAGATTGCAACTTTTCACGGGTCAAAATATGCAAAGGGGGCCTGTTTCCCACCTCCAGGCAACCATAGTTGAAACCTTCTACTCTCTGCTTCAAAAGTTCCAAATCAAAATAGCCTTGCTCATACATTAAGCACCACAAAATGCGTGACAAACAAACCCATAAGTCCCCCTCACAAATATCATGTTGTAAGTCACAGCTAATGGATGAACTACAGTGAAAATTAGGCACAGCATTCCATACACACTCTTCATGTACTCCCGTGGTCTGAAAATTGTTGGCTGCCACATCAACAGCATAATTATCACGAGTCCTTATCTCTGCATTACATACAATCTCATACTGCAACACAGTTTTGTGTCCTCTGCAGAACCTGCAATAAAAGTTTGCAGAAAAACTCTTGGAGAAACCACAAATTTCATTAATACCCTTGTTATCTCCAAGCACGCAACACAAACAGAAATATATTTTAAACATACCATTTTCAGTGATAACTTCGATTCCCTCATTGTAAAGGAACTGTAACTCCTCAATGACAGGCCGAAAGACTGCAGCATTCCCAAACAGTTTTCTATGTTTGGTCAGAAATATAGAGGCTACAAATATATTCTCAAGTGCTCCTAAATATTTAGCAGGCAAAACAGGAATGGAGCAATACAAGGGTCCTAACTCAGTGTCACCCCCATGTGCCATTAGGGTGTTGTCTGGGACAAAGTCATCATAACATAAATTTAGGGGTAAAACCAACTTATCACCAAAATTCTCAGAGCTCTCTCTCCACAGGGTTCCTTGAATGACATTAGAAACAACTTGCTCCTCATTATTTAAAAAATCCATATGATGAAGAATTTCCTGCAGAACGCCAGGCAATTCTAGAAATTGTTTTAAAGTGTGGCGAAGGGGAACTACTTGCCCCTTCACACCAACTTGCCCAGGAAGCATGACATCTCCTCTCCTTACCATTTCATTATTCAGCTGCCCTATGAAATAGGGAGATGGCTTTAATGAGGGACATGAGTCACTTAACACTGAAAATCTCTGATGTTCTGTTTTGAGGTGATTGAAAGGGTTTTTCATTACAGAAAACATTTGTCTAACACTAATTTTATCCTGCTCATGACCCTCAACATGAGTGAAAATACGTTCTACACTTGTCTCAAGAAACTCCAAATGACCACACATCAAAAATTCAGCTACAGAATTTAAAATACTGCTAACAAGAGCTCGATTGACATGGGGCAAGCCATAAAGTTTTGAAACAAATCCTAGTACCCCAGCACAGTACGACCGAACGAATACAGCTAGTTCTGGTTCAACGTCCTCATGTGGAAGTTGGTCATTGATATCCTGGTCTGGGCCAACAACTTCCTCCTCTGCTCCTACATTGAGATCCACTTGCTGAACATTTCCTTCCTGGTCTGGTTCTAGAGGATGATCTCTGCGTAAATGATTTGCAAATGAATTTAGCGTATCAAACCGTCTTCCCCCACAGTGTGGTCTCGTTTGTCTGCAACTAAACCCGTTCAGCGCTGAGGACAGATTACCAGAATGTGTTGTTCGCAAATGAAACAACAGCTCTTTTACAGAGGGACGATGGTCATTACAAAACAAACAGAGATACATTGTCACTTATGTATTTCCTAATTACAGAAAAGTAATACCCAAACTTGATAACAAATACCAAATGAAACTAAAGAAAATAAATATAACTGTTAAATATAATATTAAATTACTATATATAACAAAACCAATAAATAATCAAGATACTTTTCAAGTTCTAAAGTGAAAGTAGCTACTCCAGATGCTTTTTGAAAGTAGCAACAGAAGATAGGTAGGTGCAATTAAATTTGTCGGATTTACATTTAATTTTAAATATTTCTTGTTGAATGAAAAGCCACGATTGGTCAGATTCAATAGGATACCAGGCATTTAAAACCTGGAATGATTTAAAAGCCAGGTCAACAGCCTGTAGAGGTCCAGGGACATGATAGAGTATCCCATTAATCGACACTTGACAATGGGTATATTGCATAAGAGAGGGTCCACTCAACACAATCAGAGGTTGGCACCTCAATCCAACTTTTTCCATAAACGTTTGACGTTTTTCTAGAGTTTCCTTAACCATATTAGGATCCTGTAGAAAGAGATAGAAACCAATAAGGATAACACATCCCAGAATAAAAAAATTGACCGGACTGTAAGTTGTGAAAGTTACCTTGACATGCAATATAAAGCCATCTCTTTGCTCAGCCAAAGTTGGTTTCCAGAACTTTTTCGCACCAAGTGGCTTTGATGGGTCTGCTGGGTAAGCAACACTAGTGTTCGTTTTGAAGATAGATGGTAACAGCATTAAGTGTAGGAGTATCTCAACGCCTACAGAAGAGGAGTCTTCAATTAGTAATAAAATAGAATTGTAATAGAAGCTGATCAAAAATTAAAGAGACACTTACTTTCTGTAACACGATGTGAAGGGTTTGTCAGCTGAGAAATTAAAGTAGTGGAAAAAGAATCTTTGGCATGTTCAATAGCAGTTGACAACAGAGCCTTCTGAATACAAGGCCAAGTAGCAAACAGAAGCCCAGTCTTGTCGGGATATATCTTCTCAAAATCAGCCACAAGCTGTTATCAAAGAATCAAGGATTAAGAATGTGCCATAGGTGCAAACCTCTGAGAAAAAGAAACAAAATCTCACCAACTGCCAGCCTGCTTTGTCAGTTAATACTGGATATTCTACATAGTATTTTGGAATGTTGCTGTCCTTCCTAGATTTTGTGCGTGGATACAGGAGTTTCATTCTATCCTGATAAACTACATCCCAGTGACGCTGAACTTCTGGCCAAGGAGTCCTGTTGAACCTCAACCATGCCAGGCTCTGCTGCCTTTCTTCTGTTGAGTAACCTAGAAAAAAGTGAATAATTAGAATTTATTAAATACGTAAAAGAATACCATGCATATTTCAATTCTTATTTGAGTATGAAAATAAAAATCAATACATACTCTTAGCAGGTGGGGGTGTATCGTCAGCAGAGCTAGTAGAGGCAGATGATCGGTGTCGCTTGTTACCACTATACTTCAATTTAGATTTCAAGTTGTTGTACTTGTCAACCAATTTTCCTGACACCAGTCTCCGTGTATGATCCGCTCCTAGATAGTATGTTGAAAGCTGTTCACCAGGTAGCACTTCCACAAGTTTTTCAGCAACTCCTCGAAGTTGCGGCAAAGTTAAGCTAAAATTAAAAATGAAAACATTAATAATAAGTGGGAAACATTACCTCAAATAACAAAATGTTAACAGCAATAGATATAAGAGCAGGTGCAGTCAAAAGAACTTGTTAACTTTCTTTGCACTGTTACGTACTTTAAAGAAAGTTTTAAGAGACATTGGCTGACAAGTACATCAAGAATGCTTTTCCTCCAGTCTCCCTTTGGTTGCACATTTATTTGAAGCTGAGTCAAAATATGTTTGCAGAGAGCATCCCCTTCCAGCACTGCTTTCACATCCTAAAAGAAAACAAAACACACACATGCAAAGTTTAAATTACTCGAAAGAAATTCATCTAAATTTCGTGACCACTACGTCACTGAAGGAAACACTTTGAATAGTACACATACAAACATATAAATACTCCATTGTACTAACCAGTGTCTCTAGAGCGCTCGCAACCAAAGTCTCTGCCAAAACTAGATCTTCGTAACTTCTCTTGGGTGCAGGGGAAGATGATACTGCTGAGCCTCCCTCAGTGATCATTAAAGATGCAACATCTGAGTTTGATGGGCCTGGCAGTGCATCACAAGTGAATCCTAATTCACTATTTGAATTCGATGGGCCTGGCACTGCATTATAAGTGAATCCTTCTGAGTTCGATGAGCCGGGCAGTGCATCATCAGTGAATGCAGATGCACTCTCTACAACCACCACCTCAACAGGTGTACCCTAAACACAAATAAAACAAATTATTGTGACATTTGAAAAGAACTTCAACGCGTAGCCTGAAATTCTATTAAGGAAAGTGAATTCACAATTACACCCAATGCTTACCTCAATAGACTTTTTAAGTTTACGTATTTTGCTCAATAACTTGACTCTTGGCCCATGAAGAGGAATGTACTTGGACAAACTTGAATCATCCAGCTCCAAGAGAGATTCAATATCAAATTGTTGGTCTGTGAAATAACAAAGGGGATATTTTTAACTCTAGGTTCTACTTTATCAAATGTGGAAGAGGTATTGAAACTATACCATACCCACCTCTGAACGGTTCCACGAGCTCCGGGTGGCCCCATTCAACTAGGAGATCAGAAACATCCATGGCGTTACTCTGAGTCTCTGAGTACGCACACGCACGGTCCACACAAGCATTTGATGGTTGACAGACCGATCAGCTGACACTCGACCGCCCCCCCCTCCCCCCCCAGCTCGCCCCGCCACTTCACGTCTCTCCCCACGTCTCATCCTTCTTCACAGAACGTAAGTGTTCTCAACTTCTGATCGCCGTGCCGCTCCATATGATCATGAAACAAACAAAAACAGAAAATTAGAAAACAAAGTTTAACATTTTATATTCAACGCCAGGAAAACTGGCGAGGAGGTTCCGGTATTGTGCTCGGCAGCGAACTCCCACACCCTCCTGTGCGAGCGACGCGAGCCCCCCCCCCCCCAATACCCCGACAAACACGTTTAAAATGGTGCGACACACTTCTGACACCCCCTTTCCCCTCCGCCAGGGCACGGTCGTGGTGGGCAGCTGCAGGTGCAGCGCAAGGGCCAGCTAAGTCTTCCCTGCCCTCCCCACCCGCCCCTTACTTCCCCCACAGCCGGCCGCGGCCACGGGGGTGAGCACCCCGATGATCGTGCCGCTGCCGCAGCAACCGTGTGATGTCCAACTACCAACTACGTCCTTCCCCCCCCCCTCCCCCTTGTTCCCGAAGCGAAGGTGACCATCAGTATGAACGTCCTGAGGTGCTACGGCCGCAGCAGCATGCGATAGACCCCCCCCCCCCCCTTTTCGCTCTCCCATCCGCGGGCCGCGCGCGGAACGGGCTTGCTTGGTGACTGTGATGCTGGCACCCGCCCCTCCCCTAATCACAACAGGTTGTAAATGATAGCACCTTGAATTCATACTAAAACGCCTGTGTGTCACAATGAAAAGATAACAACACTAGTGCTACGCACTTGCAAAGCGCTAAACTTGCCCACTGACTTGCAATAAGTGTTAAACAAATTCAATACTTGAGTTGGTTTATTGGCACACTTTGCTTTCAGAGTGTTGTGCTCTTAATGTGTGACAAGTGCTGATATTAAAGGATTCATCTAAATAGATTCAATTATAGGATAAGTACGGTACAAACCTAAAGAAATTGGGGGAATGTCAGATATTGTAGGGTCTCCTGTTAGTTTGATGCAATCCTAGTGGGATGGATGACTTCAGTAGACTTCTTGTAGTGTCCGAAGCTCAGGGTAGTAAATTTCAGAGAAACATTGCCAGACATCATTCTGAAACATTGAACTTATGTTAATAATGCACAATATAATAACATAGAGTAAATAATCAGGCATAATAAATGACAAGGCATCATTCAGACATTATGTTTTATCATAACTTGCAACGTAAACTGTGAACGTGGGTTGTGATAGATGATAGCTCACTTCCAACATGAAATGTGAAAACACCGATGTCCAGCGACAGTAAAGGTTAACAGACACACTTTCATAAAAATTGTTGCAAGTTGTCAAGAACATATTTTTGTTAACCTAGAAACAGAAACAAAACAGTACTCTGATTAGATTGGCATTGGCAATGAAGTATGGGTGATGCAGCAGTTATGCCAAATGCTCACCAAATGTCCAACACAACTCTGCAAATCAACAATTTGGTATTGATCTGTCCACATACGAAACATTTTCCGACATAGGCCACCAAGGCAGCTTTTCTGACCACAATAAAGTGTGGTTTAGTACCAAGTCCACATTGGTCTAACGTCTAACCTCACAGTTCATCATACAAAACTTCTTTTCGGGATTCCCATTCTCTCTTTAAGTTTACGCTATATCACGTAAGCCAGATTAGTTCGGGGCACGATAAAAATTATATTTTGAATCACTTTTAATTAATTTCACAATGTTATTGTTTTGCTCGGCAGCAAAATGAAATCGACAGGAGTGACTATTAACACTAGCGTAGTGCAAATAATCCATGGTTTGTTCGCAGACTTTCCAGCAGAAGAAGTTGTTTTCACTCAGTATTGCTATAACTTATTTAACGTTGTTTATTTCTGCCCGCTTTCGTTTTGATTTTCACACGTTATAATTTACTAGCTGTTGCTCATTTTCTATCGTATTCTTTCACAGATTTCGAAGAAATGAGCTCGGAACACACTCCATTTATCCTCCTCCCCCACCTTGTCAAGATTTATGATGGCATACATAATTATGTTACACTTGATACAAACATGATTTTGTTGTTAGAGCTTGTGACGACGCTTATCGCAACAAAACGATATGGTACTGACAAGGAGGGAAACCACTCAGTCTTGCATACCTAATCCAGTGAGGACAACCATATAGAGTTGGCCTAACCATTATGTTGTTCGGAGGTTTTCAACCATAACTCTATGGTTGTGACAACTTTTCGTTTTTCTGGGTGTGGGCTGCAAAAGCGGAGGCGAAATACTTTTAATTTTTGCTCAGGTTGTTATTATTTGTTTCTGCCCGCGGTTTTATATTCCCTCCCCATTTTCTACTCGGAGAGCTCGACGCCGGGCCGCCGCAGGGCCGCGGGCTGGGCTAGTTGGCCTGCACCAACCAAGGCATGCACCCGCCTCGGCTCTTGTCTTGCCGCCCCAATTAATTTCTGAATTAAGCGCCACCGGCTCCTCGGCTCCCAATTAGAGAGGGAAGGCCCGGTGGCGGGGCGTGGCGGGGCGTGGCGGAGCGTGGCGGGCAGTGTGTGCATTCACTTAGCGGGCCGCGTCCGAAAAGTGTGCAACCTGCTGCGCTCTCTGCGAGCTTGCGACTGCTTACTTTACCTGGCGATTGTGCCATAGTGATGACCATAAACATGGTGTACATGTGCGCGCAAAGTTTTTGGTCCGTAATTATCATTTTACGAAATTTGATTTTTTTTTCATTGTTTTTTGAGCATTGTAGCCGGGAGGGCGTTGTCGTCGGCGGCTGCCCTGGCTTGCCTCGTGGCCGTCCGTGGCTTGCTACTGCTCGTCTCGACTTCTCTCTACACTTATACTCCTTTTGAACGCAGCCTAACTGTGTGGTTTTGTGGCCGAAATCCGCATTTGGTCGCGGCGGCGGGGGCCAGCGGCTTGCTGTGATGTTTTGTTAGAAGCGGTGAGGTGTGAATTGGGCGCTTCACTGCCATAACAGTAAAATTAAAATAAGAAACAATCTTTTGCTCTTGCTGCACCGACCTGATGAACGAACGGCAATCATGTCATTTTATTCCCACAGCACACATCTTTTTTATTTGTGTGTGTGTGTGTTCGTGTGCATGTTTGGCGCCCTAGGCGTGAAAATCGCGACTGTAGCTCCGACGCACACTCACACAGACCCAGACGTTTGTTGCCGGTCCGAGGATCGTCAGAAGCGCACAGGTGTCAGGTGCTATAAATTGCTGGCCACCGGGCCGTCCCTTTGCCCCCCCCCCCCCAATACACAACAACGGAGCGGAAGGGCTGGGATTAGTCACGCCCGTAGTGCTGCTGCTGCTGCTGCTTGCATCTTCATAAAAAAATATAAAATGAAAAAAAATCTAGATTGGAATTGGATGAGGATTTGTACACGTACGGATGTACTTGACAATGAAATCGAATAAGGCTATCGGCCACCGTGATAAATGCGCAGAGAATCACTCGGCAAAGATGAAGAGTTTAAATCGCGGCGTGAGGAAGGATTCCTTCCTATACAGAGACAATATGACAGATATCACGCCTCTCTTTGTCTCACTTCACTCATCAGTTGCTCTGTCTCTGTCGCTCCTGTCGGCTGTCTGGATCCGGTTGGGGGCCCTAATGGGGCTATGGGGTATATGCAGCGTTAGCGTTTTGAGGTGTGGATGAGGTGGGGCTTTGAGGAGGATGGACCTATTACTATTTGTTTTCTCTCTCCTCGCCGCCCCAAACGAACCAACTGGCGACCCCTTGGCTTGGCTGGCTTGGCTGGCTGGCTGTGGGTCCGTCCGGCTCAACCTGACTGGCAATCAAGCGAGGAATTTCCGTCTCTCGTCGGAGCCTTTTGGCTTTCATCAGCCCACGCAGCGCCACGCAGCGCCACGCAGCGCCACCACCTGTGTGTGTGGCTCTGTGCATTGTGGGGAACCGTATCGGATCTCTATCACGGCGGCCCAACAACACTATGGACGGTTGTGTTATTGTTGTATATATCGGCCGAAAATTCAAGCTTCTTTTAATATTGGCACCATTTGCGGGCGGCCGGGCACAGTAGTCGTTTTCACACGGGCGGACGCACGCGCACGTTCGACACCTGGTTGTGGTAGTGGTGGCACAACGCTCTCTTGTGCCCAAAGGTGAGAGAGACCACAATGGAAAGGAGTTGAATGTGGCACCGCCTTCCATATAACGCTGTGAATACAGATACCCTTGATTACTTTCTTTCTCTCTCTCTCTCTCTCTCTCTCTCTCTCTCTCTCGCTCTCTCTTTCTCGCTTACTCTGTCTCGCTCTCTCGCTCTCCCTCGTCGCGCTCGTCCCCCGCCTGCATTCAAGTCTCCCGCGCACTCTTTCGCGGCACGTGATGCGATTCCCCCCTGCCGCTGATCGTCCGAAATAACTCGATTTTTATCTCGCTCGCCGCTGGCCACGGTCCGGCGCTTTCGTCTGCTCTCGTCCACTTTTGTCCAGGAATGACGAGGGCAAGTGTTTGTCAATTCTTATACTCCATTATATAGAAAAGAAAAATATACTCTCCCCGATTCGTGCAGATATCTTTTATTCGGTCGTCATTTCTACAGTAAGTGTCCGCTATACCAAATGCCTGCGGATTTGAAGTGAGTTTGTGTAGGTACACTCATTTTACAACATTTTTGGAATGTTAGTTCTTCATCGCGAGAGTGCCCACGGCCCGTGCCAAATACAGTATACTCTTTTCCTACAAAAGCTGGTGTGGTACACTAGCTAAAAAGCACCCTTTCCGATTACGTTCCGACGCCGGGGTACTTTACTGGCGGCGCCCTCTGCTGTGCGTTGAAACAATCGGAAGGCCGTTGCGGCCGCACGATATCTCCTCTTCCGATCAGAAGGACGCGGCGGGCGGACCCTCCTCGTCTTTTCTCACAATTCATTCCCGTCATGGTGCCGGTGCAGCAGCGGCGGCGGCGGTGCCAAGGGCGTTACTCCGTCGGGTCGCCACCGCCACGCCACATCGCCATTTTCTTCGAGATGAGTCACTTGCACCATTTCTTTATTCTCCTCTTTTTTTTTCTCTCTCCGTGGCGCCGCCGTCGCACCGTGTGTTGTCGTATTATCCCTCTGCGCTGCAAGGACCCAAGAAAATTGAGCAGCCCGGCGGGTCCGTTGTTGTCACGTGATCCAACTCGCATCAAAAAGGTGCGGAGCAGCAGCGCGGCGCGGGGCGGACTTTTTGTCAAGTATTATATTCACCTTTCGGAATTATATTTTGTCATGTATTGGCAGACGGGGATTAGAATTCTGGGACATCCCCCCCACTCCTCGCCCCTCTCTCGATCGACTACGGTGCTTTTTGTTCGTTCGCTTTCTTCATCCCTGACGGGGTGGCGGCGTAGCTTATGGCGAAGAGAGCTCAATTGATAATTGCACAGCGCCAGCGCGCCGAAACGTGTGCAGCGCGCATCTTTATAATTCTGCCCCCTCCCCCCCCCTCTCTCTCTCCATCTTCACTCTGGGCTCTCTCCCCTCCGTCTGCTCCCATCTGGCCCCCGTGGGCTAATTCCTATGTGAGGACGCGCGCACTTGAGACGGACGTGTCTCGCATACGCGTTGTTGTTGATCTGACCCCTGCGCGCGGGAACAAGCCGCGGCCAGGCTGTGTCAAAACCCACGCGCGTTTTACTCGGTTTAATATAGGTTTATATGTGCGCACGCATTTCCCCTTCCTCCTTCTTGGAGGTTTTTATTTTTGAGGTTAGTCGCGCGGCCAACTTTTAAAAGTTGAGTTTAGTAAATCCTATGCGAGGAACTACTAAAAACC